TCCTTTATTGACTGCCTTTTGAATGTTAAACCATACTTGCATTCCTGGGTTGAACCCTACTTGGTCATAGTGTATGATCTTTTTGATGAATTGTTGGCATCTATTTGCTAGTATTTTATCAAGGATCTTTGCATCTGTGTTTGTTTATCAGAGTTGTTGGACTGTAGTTCTCTTTTCCTGTGGTATCTCTGGCTGCTTTTGGTATTAGGATGGTGTTTCCCTCATAGAAACTGTTTGGGAGTCTTTCTGTTTCTTCAATTTCCTGGAAAAGCCTGAACAGGATTGGCATTATGTCCTCTTTAAAGGTTTGAAAGAATTCACTAGTGAATCCACGTGGGCCTGGGATTTTTTTTTTTTGTGAAAACTTTGGATTTACCATTTCAGTTTCTTCTATAGTTGTAGGTCTGCTCAGGTATTCCAAATCTTGAGTCAGCCTTGGCAAGGTATAGGAATCTAGGAATTTATCCATTTCTTTTGGGTTCTCTTGTTTCATGGCATATACATTCTCTAAGTAATCTCTGATGTTCTTTTGAATTTCTATGGCGATATGCCCCCCTTTAATTCCTGATTCGATCTACTAGTCTCTCTCTCTCTCTCTCTCTCTCTCTCTCTCTCTCTCTCTCTCTCTCTCTCTCTCTCTCTCTCTCTCTCTCGTCTTGCCTGTAGTTCAACATTCTTGTTTATTTTTTCAAAGAACCAGTACTTGGTTTCATTGATCTTTTGGATTATTTTATAGGATTCCAGCTCATTAATTTCTGCTCCAAGTTTTATTATTTCCTTCATCCTGCCTGGGTTGGGAGTCCTTTTCTTGTTCAGTTTTCAAGATCTTAATCTGTGAAGTCAAGTTACTTATGTGGGCTCTTTCTTTCTTCCCTATGAACTCTTGCAAAGCTATAAACTTTCCTCCTAACACTGCCTTAGCTGTATTCCACAAGTTCTGGTAACTCTTGTGTCCTCATTCTTGGAAAGGAATCAAGGTTGGAACAGGGCCAAAAGCTAGAAGAGTTTGAACAACATTAATCTAGGCTACTCAGGTTTTGGGATGATAGACCATTAACAGAAACCTGAAGTTAAAAGAGACAAAAGTTATTTTGGGGGGAGTGGCGGGGGGACACACACTGGCGATACTCAGGGATTATTCTGGACTGCATTCATGAATCTCTCCTGATATGCTTACGGATCCATATGGGATGCCTGGGACAGAATCCAGGTTGGCTGGGTGCAAAGCAAGCATCCTCCCCACTATATTATCTCTCCAGCCCTAATTTTTTAAAGCCCTTTTAAAAACCCTTTTTTGAAGGCTTATTTCTGTCTCTTCTCTCAGGATTTACCCCTGGCAGGCTCAGGGAACATATGGGATGCTAAGGATTGAACCTGGATTGCCCACATCCAAGTCAAACATCCTGCCCACTGTACTATCGATCTGGCCCCAAGACAAGAGTTAATTTTGATGCAATATTTTTTTGTTTTTGTTGCCAGGGTCAAACCCAAGGGTCTCAACTGCTGAATGACACCCCAAGTCCTGTGCTTATTTAATTGTTTATAAATTTAATGTTTGGATTACACCATGCAGTGCTGAGAGGGAGTGGGCTGGGAAAGCAAACCCAGGACTTCTGCAAGCAAAGCTTGACTCTAGCCCTTTGAGCTGTCTCCCTGATTTCTCCCCTCAAGGTTATTTTTAAAGTGGTGCTATATTCATAAATGTATACTAAAGGCCATTGGAAATAAGGTGACGATGTTCTTATATATATGTTCTTAGATATTTGAATCATAGAACTCTTAAAGCTAAAAATTCTTGATCTTGGGTATGTGTGGGTAATTTTTCATATGGTGACTTAATTAGATTATTGGTTAGCTTCAGTTGCATAACTGAAATCATAAACCTGGAAGCTATTTTTGTAAAAGCCAGGAGTACCAAGTGCTGTCCTCTATGTTTAGTGAGCTATATGAAACTAAAGTGAGACTCAGACAGGAAATAGATCTACTGAGCTGCTTAAAGTTTTGCATAATTTCCTCCTTTTTCCCCCCTTCCTCGTAAAAGAAGCTTTAAATCAGGGAAACTTTAATTTGAATGCACTTTTAAAGTGATTTTTGAATTTCTTTATTTACATGATTCTACTCGCATCTTGTATTGCTGGCTCAGGCTCAGATTCAAAAACTATTTTTAGTGCTTACCTGACACTGTGCTAGATACATATCCTCTCACTTAATCCTTCAGCAGCCTTGACTGTGAGTCTCTAACAGATTTTTTAAAAATGCTAGGGCTTAAGAGATGAAATAATATGCCCAGCATCATACAGCTTGTATGGTGGAATGAGAACTAAAACACTGAAAGACCATTCACCTGAAACCCCCATGTTTCTTTTTCTTGGGTGGGGAGCACACCCAATGATGCTTAGGAGTTACTCCTGGAGGTGCTCAGGAGACCCTCTGGGATGCTAGAGATTAGATCAAACCCAGGTCAGCCACCTGCAAGGCAAATACACTACCCACTGTGCTATCGCTCTGGCCCAGAAACTCCCACATAGCTCTGGCTCAGAAACTCTACTGCACCTACCCAATGTAGACATATGAAACTTAGACATCAAAGAAAATCACATATTTTCTAACCATCTAGCTTGTCAAGGGTAGGAAAATATATAGTGTATAAGGCATATAAAGGGTATAAAATATGAAATAAAATATAAAGGATTTAAAATGCAGGGGAGAAATATACGGACTGATTCAAATTGCTTTCTCACCTGGAGATAACTTTTACTTTTGAGGCATGGGGTTTCATGATTGCTTTTTATGGTTCCTTCTAACGGGTTGTTTTTATAGTATTGTAACTGTCATGGAAAGCTGAAAATGAATTGAAATTTGTGCTTTTGTCATGCCAAAAAATATAATTTATGATGGGTATGAGCCCCATCAAAATGTCTTAAATGAAAGTTGCTAGGAACAACTGTGTGCAGTGATGTACAATTGCAAAAAAAAAAAGGGGCAAGAAGAGTAACTTTGAAGAACCATACTTTTTAGATTAACAACCTCAAACTCTGTCTCATGTCATGCAGAGTAGGGAGCCCTGTGCTATGTCATAAATTTTACTGGAAGTTTATAGACAAAATGATATCACTGATTCTAGTAAGTGTGGTCAGCAGTGTGCTGGCTACTAGGATTAGCTCATGAACTCTCTTCAGTGACTATCATTCTGAAGGCTTGAAATGGGCCTGAAAGAGGTGCTGACTATAGACATGAGCAAACACTATAAAACAACATGTTTTCCAACATTCTAAAACTGATTATTAAACATTTATCAGCATACTGTGGGCTGCAGTATATGCAACTCTCATCTTGTAGATTAAAAATATAATTGACAATTTAACTTTATTGAGGCAAGTACTGTTATGTTTTACTACTAAAGCAACAAACTAAACTAAAGAATCTTAAAAATCAAATTATGCAAAGTCCTTTATGAAAACTCCAGATTAAGTATTTACAGAAAGGGGCCAGAGTGATAGATAGTAAAAGGGTTAAGTGCATGGCTTGTATGTAGTTAGCCCTGGTTCTTTCCCTTGAGCCACATAGTTTCCCCAAGGAGACTTCTGGGGACCTCTGGGTGTTGCCTGGGGAATCCCTGGCACTGTAGGGCCCAAGTTGCCCTGGCCTTGATCCCCTAATCCTGTTCACTGAAAATTGCCAGAAGTTGGCTCTAGGCCCCCTGAACTCTGCTTGGGAGGACCTCCAGTAAATTTTTACAAAGAGATGATTTGCAAATCATCTTATTTTTACTTAATCATCTTATTAAATCGTGTTCTATCATTTAGATAAAGGTCATCTCTGCTGTACTTGAAAAAAATTTAGATCTACAGAATGTATTTTATGATGGGCAGATACACAAAAGGTATCTATCGTATGCCTTGAGAAAAACCACTCCTTTTTATTACTAATTTGTAAGGTTGACAGGTACTTTATTGCTTTTTGCCTTGACATCTATCTGGGATAATGGAGAAAGTGATCTACAAATGAAATATCTTCTTTGATTGTTTTACAGACTCATAGAATAAATAAAACTTAAAACTGTGAAATATTCAAAAAATCCAAAATATGCAAATACTTTGTTTTACTGGTCTCTTCAGAATATTGTATCGAAATGCAGATTTCAATATTTTTCAAATTAAAGACTTAAAAAAAAACTAAAAGGTTCCCTGAGTGAGTGTGGAAAGTGACAAGCTTCTACTGGAACTCAGTCCTGAACCCCCATCTGATGCCCTTTATGCTCTACAGTGTATTGTAGATTAAACATCATGACTTAACTGGCAGCAGTTTGTCTGACCTATTCTGAAATATCAAAACCACACCAGTATCCCATGAGGTAGTTTGTGAAATAAAATTAAATATACACGATGGGTTTTTCTGTTGGATGGTGTGGCAAGGCTGGGGGATGCAGAGGGACACATACCCTGTGGTGCTCGGGGGCTGCTCGTGGCTTTTTGCTCAGTGTTTGCTTCCAGCAGTGCTCAGGCAATCATGTAGCATCAGGGAGCTCTCACATGCAAAGCATGTACTCACCCCACTGAGTTGACTCTTCGGCCCATAAATGGGATTTTAAAGTCTCTTGTGATGTGATGTATTTCAGCTTTCCACTTTACAGTAAGCAAAGTCATTCTTTCTCTGTTAATGCCTTATAAGTCTCTGTAGCACTTTTTATTATTCTTTAGAGTTCTTATTTCCAAACTATAATGAATTGGTTAAGTTTGCTTTGACTTAACTTAGGATAGCAAGAATGAGATTGTATAAAAACTGAAAATGTCTCTGTTCTCAAACATTTACTTTGTTTGAGATGATGACTTCAGAAATGTGTTCTATGCCAAAAGTCATTTCTTCTGGACTGGTGAATGAAGGTAAATAAGAACTTTCTTAGTTTTATGTCCGAGACTTTCAGTATTTCAAGATTCTGATTTCTTTGACATTTTTCTTTTCATTGAATATTTAATTGTCTTTGTTTTTATTTTTTACAGATAGCAGAGTCCTATTTCCAGGAGGAGGACTGTATCCTTTTCTTAATTTCTGCAAGAAATTTATAGAACTCTTAGAGAACTTCCTGTTTTAAAAAACTTAGGTGTATTTTACATATAATAAAATATATGTACATTCATATATATGTCAAGTTAAATAGGTCTTAACAATCTTCCTGTGTAACCACTTCAAAAGCAAGATACAAAGAATTTCAGTCACTGTAGAAAACACTCTTAGAACTACCAGAATTTTATTTTTCATAAATAAGATCTTCTTAATTTAGGGGTATTTTGTGTCATACCAGAGTGTTCAGGTATCACTCCCAGTGCTCAAACAACAATAGGCAATTTCAGGGATCAAATTGGGTTGGCTAAATGCAAAGCAAACACCTTAACCCATGTGTTATCTCTGATCCATGTCTTCCTAATATTAGGGTTTTTTAAAAAGAGGAGGATTAGAAAAAGTTACAACTCACGCATTTATTGCATTTTCTTTCCTTGAATTAAATACATATGCAAATCAAGGAATATTTATTTGGTAGAGTCTGTCAAATAATTTACATATTGCAAATCTTGATTTTCTTATTGCAGCTATATATCTACAAAGGGAGGTTGAAATTTTTTCTGGTAGTGATAAATATTTTCAAGTGAGCCCTTATGTTCACTTACACAAGATAAATTTCTGCCCTAATTTTTCCACTTTCCCCTTTTAAAATTGCTTTTCCTTTTGAGGAGTGACCCGATATATAAGAATGTGTCATGATCTTGTTTTTTTCACTATTGTGATCTCTTTCCCTCTCCTTGATGACTTTCCCGTTGCCTGTGAGCAACCTGAGGAATAAGCAGTTACTGTACTGAAGCCTATCAAGCAGCTGTGGTAACAGAAATAGCCCATTCTTGTCAAATATATAGAAAAACCTAATTCTGGTGAAACTGAGGTGTAGGACTCTTTTTTTCTAAACAAATAGTCATCATGCAGTGTAGAGTGCAAACCAGCATGAGTATCGCTGCAAGCCTTTTATTTATTTTGTTTTATTTTTTAAAATTTGTAAATTAAAGAACTGTGATTTACAAAGTTATTGATAGTTGAGTTTTAGGCATACAGTATTTCAACACCAATCCCACCTCAAGTGTCAACTTCCCTCCTTCAGTCTTTCTATATTCCCTCTCATCCGCAACCCCTACCCCATCTCCACTTGTCACCTTGACAGGCACATCACAGAGTTCCAGTGGTTGCAGCTTAGATCTCATGTCTTCAGTGTTGTTAAGTCCATGTTTTGGATATCTGGCTCTACCCCTCACCCTTATCACAAGTATAACTGAAGCCCTGATGCCTGTGCACCCATTACTTCCTGTTCTCTTCTTCCCCGCTCTTCCCTGCTCAATTTCTTTCCTTTTCTGTCCTCTCTAAACCCTGGGGTCAAGGATGATCTAAGCATCTCCCTTTTATACAATATATTTCCTCATCCTTACTGGAAGCCTTTTATAAATGCAAACGCACAGACTTCAGAATCTGAGTTTCTGTGATCAGATTCATTAATCAGAGTTTTAATAAGTTTTTCAGATACTGTATTTTTATATATTTTTTATTTTATAAGGAGGACTTAATTAATGCCCCCTTTAAAAATTTTTTTTTGTTTTTTTGTGCCACACTGGGACCATATGTGGTGCAGGATTTGAATCCAGCTCAACTGCATGCAAGACAAGAGCCCTGCCCACTATACTCTCTCTGCAGCTCTCCTCCCAGTTTTTATTGAATACCATGTGTATGATACTGTTAATGATACGGTTTCATTTTATGTTCTGTAAAGTTTTATGTTCTATAAAGAAAAATAGGGGAATGTTAATTCATGGAGAGAGGGAAATGAAACTGCCCCTGCTTCTCCCTAGTCTATTTTTTTTTAAATTAGTGAATCACCGTGAGGTACAAATACAGACTTAAAAACTTCCGTGCTTGCATTACAGTCATACAATGGTCGAGTATCCATCCCTCCAGTGCCTGTTTTCCACCATCAGTGGACCCAGCATCCCTCCCACTATCCCCACCCTGCCCCCCCTGCCCCCCACCCTGCCTCTGTGGCAGGGCATTCCCTTTTGCTCTCTCCTTTTGGGTATTGTGGTTTGCAATAGAGGTATTTAGTGGCCATCATATTTGGTCTATATTCTGCTTTTAGGGTACGTCTCCCATCCCAAGCGGATCCTCCTAGCACCATTTACTTGGTGATCCCTTCTCTGACTGAGCTGCCTTTTCCCCCAGTATGTGAGTCCAGTTTCTAAGCTGTGGAGTAATCCTCCCAATACTTATCTTTAATAATCTTGGGTGTTAGTCCCCCATTCTGTTACTTTATATTCCACAAACGAGTGCAAGTTTTCTATGTTGGTCCCTCTCTTTCTGACTCATTTCACTTAACATGATACTTTCCATGTTGATCCACTTATATGCAAATTTCATGACTTTATCTTTTCTAACAGCTGCATAGTGTTCCATTGTGTAGATATACCAGAGTTTCTTTAGCCAGTTATCTGTTCTCGGTCATTTGGGTTTTTTCCAAATTATGGCTATTGTAAACAGTGCTGCAATAAACATACAAGTACAGGTATCATTTCGACTATACTTTTTTGCCTCTCCGGGATATATTTCCAGGAGTGGTATTGCTAGGTCAAATGGGAGCTCAATTTCTAATCTTTTGAGAATCGTCCGTATTGTTTTCAGTCGACATTCCCACCAGCAGTCATATCTCCAAGGTAACTAGTAAGAGAGAGTACTGAACTCTGATTATGGCAGGGAAAAAACCTAAACAGTGACTTTGCCTGTCTTCTTTTTGTATCAACTTTTAGAACATTGCCCAAAGAAAGGCAGATAGTTGGATAGCTTATCACAACCAGAATATGATGCTAAGTGTGTGATGTAGATGAAAAGGCAGAAGTTTATGAGAACATATGCATGAGAGAGGTATCAGATAATTATCTGGTAATTATAAATCACTGTGGCAGTTGACTGAATGATACCCAAAAATCCATGTGTTTGCTCTGTGCTCATTTATACTTCCACTCCCTTAGTCTTGTAGTGGGGAAGTATTCATTAAGAAATATGTAATGGATCAAGGTGAAATCAGGGACTCCTGATTAGAGGGTTAAAATAGTTGCTTGCATAAAGTCATTTAATGGGGGGGTGGGGGAGGGAGGAAGCCCTTAGGTTCAGAATTCCAGGTGACTCTTATTCCGAATAGGTAACATCTAATTTGAAGTAGTCTAGCAAAATCCCCCTAATAAGATGCCATGTTTAAATCCCATAGGCTTGACAGGCTAAGTCTGTTGTGCTGACACCATCAGCTGTGCTCACTAGAGGCATCACTGTTGTTGAGTTTCTAGAATTGGCTACACACCTGCTCCCTCACTTCCCAGGATGAACTAATAGATAGAAAACAGGAATTTAGTGCGTTAACAGCCCAGAAGCACACAATAAGACTCCCCAAGACTCCTCAGTGGGTATGTCTGTCAGTCTGACTGTCAGACTCTCAGTAAACCTAGCTTTTACTGATACTCTCAGTAAACCTAGCTTTTACTGATACTCTCAGTAAACCTAGCTTTTACTGATACTCTCAGTAAACCAGGAACCCAGGTATCTGCTGATAATATGCCGCATTAAAATGTTTCTACTTCAAAACCAAAACACCTCACCTAAGCACATGTTTGAATTTAAAAATATCTGAAGACCTCTCATTGTTATTTTAAATTTCTCGACTCAAGACTTTCTCTTCAACTATTAGGCCGAAAGTAGTTTGGATTTCTGTTTTCCTCAAATTTTCTGTTCAGATGAGAAAGCAATGAAATTCATTCAACTTGAACGACTGTATCATGAGCAATTGCTTGCAAACCTTTCTGCCATTCAAGAACAATGGGGTGAGTACAGACTAACAGAATGTGGAATTACCAGTGATCTCACAAGTTGTTATCTAGGAAATTAATATATTTGACCTGGTCTTATAGTCAGAAGATAGATATTTCTATAGTTCATATTGCAAAGAAAGTAGCATTTTTGGTTTGTTTTTGAATCACACCTTATGGTGCTGGAGGCTGCTGTCCATCTGCTCAGGGGACTGTGAGGTACCTAGGGTGGAATCCAGGGTTCTAATTGTTATGAAAAAAATTTTTATCTTTATATTTGGCCTTCATATCAATCTGAAGAAAAGAATACTTGGAACTATGTGTTCCTTCTGGTTCCTTTGCAGCCTCTACTAAATAATTTAGCCGTTGGGATATGATTCACTTATACTGGAAAGCAGTTGCTTAAGCTATTTCTAACTGTATTAGCTTTGGATTGTTTGAGGAGATAATTTTGCATAAGATATTTATTGGCAGGGTTAGCTAGGATTTTTTTTCTTCCCAAATATCTTTCTTGATATCTAGTGACTAAGAAATATTTTAAATTTAGAAACAAAATGGAAAACTGTACAACCACATACAGTTACATCTCTAAAGAATTCAGAAAAAGGATTTAATGGTGAAGATTTTGAACGGCTTACTAAATTTTGCACAACACATCAAGAGTAAGTATATCAGTATTTGGTTAGAATGAGTTGTAATAGAATATTGATGAAGTATTATAGTGTTGCATATTTGGATTCCACAGTCTCTACTGATTTTCTCAATGTTTTCAACTGAAATGAAAATGGTTATAAACTGATTAGGCTCCCTTCTCAGCATTTATCACAGTTTTTATCCAAAACTCAGTGAACTGTAAACTGTAGGTAGTTCCAAAGCATATTTTCATGAGAAATTAAAAAATATAACTTCTAATTTTGATCTCTTTACCTTAGGTAATTCTAATGGTCAAAATTGTTCATTAGGATGTTTTTATTATAGTTTTTTGCTAGTGTTTATATGTTATAAGAAAAAGTATTTTTAAAGAGTAGTGTGATGGGAGATTAAATGCATTATAATATTTGACCAGAATACATGTGGAAGGAAAGCTACGTTTACCAGATAACTTTTAATTTCTTGATTTATGTTAAATAACCGAGTTTTAAAAACCAAATTATACCACTAATAAATAAATAATACCATCATTTGCAAAGTGTTTATGATACAGTTGTTTCAGGCTTGATGATGTTCCAACTCCAAGGCCACCCCGGTGTGACCTTCCTTCCACCAGTGTCCCCATTTTTCCGCCTGCCCCCTTAGCAGGCACATAACAGATTTACTTCATATGCTTGCCACAACAGAATGGCAAGTGGAATTATCAGAAAATTTGCTCGAGGCCCGAATGTTCCTGCCCGAGATCGAACCGGGGACCTTTCGCGTGTGAGGCGAATGTGATAACCGCTACAGTACAGAAATATCAGAAAATAAATCAATAGAATTCAATTTATGATGATAGTCACATCTCACAGTGGCATTCTTTTTTTGTTTTTTAATTTTTATTAGTGAAACACCATGAGGTACAGTTGTAGACATATAAATTTTTGTGCTTGGGTTTCAATTATACAATGATCGAGTACCTATCCCTCCAACAGTGCCCATTTTCCACCACCACTGATCTCAGTATCCCTCCCATCCCCCATTCCCCCCATACCACCCTGCCTTTGTGGTAGGGCATTCCCTTTTGTTCTCTCTCTCCTTTTGGGTGCTGTGGTTTGCAAAAGAGGCATTGAGTGGCAATCATGTTCGGTCTATAGTCTACTTTCAGCATGCATCTCCCATCCTGGGAGGATCCTTCAAACACCCTTTATTTGGTGCTCCCTTCTCTGTCTGAGCTGCCTTTTCCCCTAGTATGTTCGGCTGGCCTCCAAGCCATGGAGTAAACCTCCTGGTACTTATCTCGGCTATTGTCAGGTGTTAGTCTCCTATTTTGTTACTTTATGTTCCCCAGATGAATGCAATCTTTCTATGTCTGTCCCTCTCTTTCTGACTCATTTCGCTTAGCATGATACTTTCCATGTAGTACCACTTGTATGTAAATGTCATGACTTCATCTATTCTAACAGCTACATAGTACTCCATTGTGTAGACGTACCAAGGTTTCTTTAACCAGTCATCTGTTCTCAGGCACTCAGGTTTTTTTCAGATTCTGACTATTATCTTCAAAGATGTCACGCTACTGGCCAAGCAAGTGAAAACAGAGATAGACAAATGGGACTGTCTTAAACTAAGAAGCTTCTGCACCTCAAAACAGTGACCAAACTACAAAGACAGTCCACAGTAGCATTCTTAAAGTCATTGTCAAGGATTTATTGCAGCTGGCTGGTGCTAGTTGAGTCTCCTGCATTACTGCTTTCACTCAGTGAGCTGGGTGGGCTGCTGTGAAACTTTCCCTTCAGATTTGTTCTGCATCTAATAGTTCTAAGTACTGTGAAATTTGGAGGAGGTGTCATGTGGCTACATATGCAGCTGTGTGCTTCAGGAGCTGTGGAACTGGGCCAGTTTATATGGAGAGGAGGTCGAGTGTTACAGTTGCTGGGCCTAGCCAGACTCAGAGAATCTTGCAGGCCCCATTGTGAAAACGCCACAGGGTTTTCAGCCCAGAGATCAGAGATTAATGATCTACCCAGAGTGGTAATGCAATTTGACAGCTTGTTGAGGTCAAAGCAATTTTTTTCTTTTTGGGTCACACCCAGCAATGCTCAGGGATTACTCCTGGCTCTGCACTCAGGAATTACTTCTGGCGGTGCTTGGGGGACCATATGGGATGCCAGGGATCGAACCCAGGTCGGCCACATGCAAGGCAAGTATACTCTACCTGCTGTACTATTGCTCCGGCCCCTCAAATATATTTTTAATTCTTTGGAGATGATTCAGAATTCTAAAGGAGAACAGATGTAAAGCATGATGCTTTAGTACAGAGTCTTAAAAGACTCCATTATTTTATGTTCTTTATCTCTTCCCTCAAAATTATAAGAATAAATATAAAATTCTATGCATTTATCTAGAAATAAACTCAGGTAATTGTTATTTAGCTCATGCAGCATAGAGAATTACTTTTTGATCTGATTATTTTGGAGACCTGCCATTTTTTTATTTGTCTGCAAATCTTTTATTTTTTTATTAGTGAAATACCATGAGGTACAGTTATAGACTTAAAAAATTTTTGTGCTTGGGTTTCAGTTATGCAATGATCAAGTACCTATCCCTCCACAGTGCCCATTTTCCACCACCACGGGACCCAGTATCCTTCCCACCCCCCACCCCCCCATCCCACCCTGCCTCTGTGGCAGGGCATTCCCTTTTGGTGGAGACCTGCCTTTTAAGAATGATTCAGAAGTGACACTCAACTGTTGTAATACCAATTTTCTTGTGTTGATCAATGTAGAACTTTGAAACAGTATTCAAGAGATTCAAATTATAAGCTGATTTATTAATATGCTAAACAGGTTAACTTTCAACTACATAAAATATTAATTTGTGCTCCTTTTGGCAGTATATATACTAAAATTTTATTTCATTTTTGGGGATGGATGATCTGGGACCATTTCCAGCAGTCTTCAGGGCTTATTCCTAGTGGAGCTGGGGAGACTGTATGTACCTTACCTGCTGTACTTTCTCCAGCCACCTACATAAAATTTTTAAATAAATTTTCAAAATCTTTGAAATAGATCAAGGAGGGTCAAAGAGATAGTCCAGGAGGTGAGGTACTTGGATTGCCTCGTTGAATCCCTGCACAGCATATGGCCCCTCAAGAACTGCCACGGGTTCCTCCTGAGCAGAGAGCCAGGAATAGTCCCTAAGAATCTCAGAGTGTGGCTCAATTCTCCACCCCACTCCACTTCCACCTTTCAAAAAATTAGGAGAAAAATTTCTTGCTTTAAAATATTCTTTAGGGCTGTGTGTGTGGCTCAGTGATAGAGCACATTCCTCCCATTTGTGAGGCCCTGGGTTTCATCCCCAGTGCTACAAAATAAATGAAAGTAAATATTCAGTTGGGCTGGAGTGATAGCACAATGGGTAGGGCATTTGCCTTACATGCAGCCAACATGGCCAACCCAAGTTTGATTCCTCTTCCCCTCTCAGAGAGCCCGGCAAGCTACAGAGAGTATCTCGCCCTCACGGCAAAGCCTGGCAAGCTACTAGTGAAGTATTCGATATGCCAAACACAGTAACAACAAGTCTTACAATTTGTTGTGAGACATTACTGCTGCCTGCTTGAGCAAATCGATGAACAACGGGAGGACAATGACAGTGAAATATTCAGTATGAAAGCTTTGTTGGTCTTCAGGAGATAAACTAGGGAAATTAGTGGTGTGAAATGTACACTGGCGAAAGGATGGTGAAAGAATGGTGAAAGAACATTGTATGACAGTGAAACCTAATCATGAACAACTTCGTAATGGTACATCTCACAGTGATTCAATAAAAAAGAAAAGAAAAGAAAGAATAAATACTACACAAATAATTTGAAAAAAAACAACAAAAACTTACTTGTGTTTCCCAGGGATTTAACAAATTTTTGATGTGCTGCAATTGTTTATTTAAAAGCAAATATCAATGCAGAGTCTGGCAGCTTGTGGCAGAAAAGTGAATGGACTGTGCCTTAATCCAGGCCATCATGCCTGCCCAGAGGGGAAAGGGTGTTGCTCCCTTCCGCCTTTTTCCCTCTGGAAAGCAAGATGGCAGCCGCCTCGGAGCTTTTTGGAAAGCCAGGTATGAGCCGGTCATGACAGGGCGACTGAAACCTCATGGGAAGGGGGGCATTCCCGGCTCGTCCTTCACGCCCTACCGAGGTCACGAGTTGCCCCCCATGAGCGGCTCTCCTGCACGACCATGGCTCCAGAGCCACAGAAACCAATCTCATAATTATCTGACTCTCGGCAGAAATACTTCCAGGCTTAATAAGGAAAATACCAGAAATCCAAAATCGCGCGGCCACTATAGCTATAGCGGCCGTGCGACATCATTTGGTTCTTGTAACCAGCTGTAGAAAACAAATTATTTCACAATGCCTTTTCAGCAGGTCTGATTTGGGGGTATAAACTCTAAATAATAATGGTGCATCTATGCTGAAAGTAGACTATAGACCGAACATGATTGCCACTCAGTGCCTCTTTTGCAGACCACAACACCCAAAAGGAAAGAGAGAACAAAAGGGAATGCCCTGCCACAGAGGCAGGGTGGGATCGGGGGGGGGGGGGGGGTGTGGAGGGGGAGGGATACTGGGATCCATGGAAAATGGGCACTGGTGGAGGGATGGGTATCTGATCATTTTTTAATCGAAACCCAAGCCAAAAATTTGTAAGTCTACAACTGTACCTTATGGTGTTTCACTAATAAAAATTTAAATAAATAAATAAAAGCAAATATCTACTGAACACAGTGTGAACATGTCTTTATGTTTTCAATTTGTATTTTTACCCATATTATTATTAAATTTTAAAAATTTAATTTAATTTGAGGAGAGGCTCCCAAGCACCACTCAAAGGCCCCGAAGGCCATACCCAGTAACACTTGACCTGGCACTGCAAGCAGCATGGCTCAGTGGCAGGACCCAGCGATGTGCTGCTCAGCTTCCATGGTGCTGGGGATACTGGGGTCACATTAGTGGACAGTGGAAGTATCCGGTGCTGGAGATCAGACTCAGGCTTGTGCATGCCAGGTCTTGTATAGCCGTCTGAGTACTCTTCTCAGTCCCATTTTTTTTTTTTACTTTAAAAATATTTTTGAATTAACACTAAAGTGTGGAAGCCTGATGAATTTTTACATATACAAGCATGTTTATGAAATTACCTCCTACCAAAATGAAGAGCAGTGCAACTTGTCAGAAAGTTGCCTAGTGCATGAGTCAAGTCAGTATTCACGCCCAACATTACTGTTATCAGACAGAAGGTAGGCTCTGGTATCTAGCTACTTTGAACTTTCATCATCTCTGTTACACGTATATTTGCATATCATGGTAATTTGCTGTTTTATTCTCATGTGGGTTCATGATTGTATGGTTGTGTAGTAATTTATTTGTCCTTTCTGTTGTCAATTATCATTTTAGCTCTTTCGTTGTTGTTTTGTGGTTTTTTTGTTTGTTTCTTGTGCCACACCCAGCTTTGCTCATTACTCACTGCTGACTCTGTACTCAGGAATCACTTCTGGTGAGCCCTGGGAACCATATGGGGTGCTGGGGATTGAACCTGGGTTGGGTGCCTGCAAGGCAAGCTCCCTACCTGCTGTACTATTTCCCTGGCCTCTCTTTCTGATTTTTTAATATTATGAATAAAATGATGTCTATAATCATTTTTGTGCATGCTTTCTGGTAGATGTAGGCACTCCTGATGATGACTATGTCATCTTGACTGTACCCTAAAATATATTTTAAATTAATTTTTTCTTAACTGTTACCATGTGTTATGTTAAATCTATCTTCTCCCAGTAAAACTATCTTCCATCATAGTCTGTTTTAAATTTTTTTAAATTTAATATGTATGTTAATTCTCTTTAAGTACATTACTAGCAAGAACTTAACGTTTTGTTTTTCCTGAATTGCATATTTGTAGCCTCTTAGAGGGGGTTCAGTAGTAATTGCCATCTAAGGAGATTAACACATGGTGCAGCTGCAGTTTGAATTGTGTGGAACAGTGGAGTTGTTTCAGCAGTGGAAATGTTCTCTGTTAGTATTAGAAGCTGGGGAAGCTATATTTTTTATGGTTATTTCAGTGACATTTGTTTGGAGGCATCTTGCTGCTGTAATGTTTTTAATTCTTCTCTCTCTTTTTCTACAGTCCGCTTGTATCTAAACAAAAGGTAAGATATTGTTTTGAATTTATTTATAGAAAAAACAGTGTATCTGTTATCTGAAACTGTTTTGGAAAATAAAATCTTTTCTCAAGTTACTTTCAGCTTTCGAATTTAATGCAACAATTTTTCCCTCTTCTTTTTTCCTGACCTTTTCAGATAGCAGCTGTGGAGAAGACCCTGGAAAAGAAAAGCATTACACAGTTAATTACGGTGTCTGAAGAGCCAAAGGGCCGGGGAGCTACAGCCAAAGAGCCAAGTATGTTTTTTAAACTGAGTCAGAGGGAAAGGCAAAAGAAGCCTGCCAGTTATTGTTTTATAAGTTTTATACCTTAGATGCTTGCAGGAATTTTTTTTTGCATATACCTCTCCTAGAAAGTAGAAATGTAAAATTTTTTAATATTGTATCACTTCATTGTTAGTTGCTGCCTAGTAGCAGACATTATAAAATAGAAATTATTTTAATACATACATATGTTTTTAGTGGTTGGCTATATTTAACTAATAGATTATAACAATGGTGTGTAAAAATGCTCTGCAGCAGACTGGTTTTGCCGTATTTAAATTCTTGTTCTGTTTAAAAACTCAACAGAATGGACTGTAACAGAAATTCGTTCTGTGTGCTTTGAATTCTATTTTGACCATTTATGTTACCTGAAGCAAATTGTTTAACTTCAATATGCCTTCCTTTCTTTATAAGTTAGGGCCAGGAACCTAACTTAGTGATGGAGCATTTGCCTAGCAAGTGAAAGACCCTGGGTTTTACTTATGGAACCACAAAAAGATAATGTGTGTGCTAACAGTATTTACCTTATGGGATTTTTATAGGGATTAAATTATTAATTTCATGTTTAAAATGTAGAACAGGAAATGAAGAGCCAGTGCAGCATGTAAAAGGTGCCTTTCCTTCTATGTGGCCAACCCAGTTCAGACCTAGGAACCATATATAGTTCCCTGAGCACCGCCAGGTGTGGCCCCCAAAACCAGAAACAAAAAAGTAGAACAGTACCTGGCAAAAGAACTCAATATAGTCATGAACTACCACTGTTCCTCTCCCTCCTCCGCCCGTGCTATCTCTGCTCCCCGCTGCTGGTGTCCTAGCAGTGTTCCCTATTCATTGCCACTTTCCTATCTTATGAAAATCTTCAGGGAATTTTACAATTTTACAAAATATCATTTCCAAGGTGTTTTTCTCTATATGATTTCATTTCTTTTAACAACTGAGGTAAGGCAGGTAGAATAGTTTTAAGAAACTAGAATGACTAATCTGTTAGGAGTCGAACGAACTAGAACTTAAAGTTCTATCGCTGGTGTCTGACCTTGAATTGCTGCCTTTTTATTCTTTTAATTTGTTTATATTTTATTAAGTTAAGATGAAAATATGCATGAGGCTCCTCCGAACATGTGGAGAGTGGTTTTAAGCATGGCTGTGGCTGGAACCAGAGGTCTTCAGCTGCCGGGGCTCTGCTTGGGGTGGGGAGGGAAACTCAACCCACCCTCCTCCGAGGGCCCCAGTGAGGACAGGCAGGCGCGTAGGCAGGAGCCTCACACATGAAGGAACCAGCAGAGGAACCCAGGTGTGCGGGACCTGGGGCGTAGATCTCCAAGCCTGCTCGAATTGGGACTGGGCCTCCTCCACCCAGATCCCCCATCTTCCAGGCATTACACCCACAAACTGCCCCCGGTGCCGTGTAATCCCATCTGTGGCCGAGACCCAGAGTCTATAAAACCCAGCTCCCGGAAGCGGACATCTTATTATCTAGTTCTTACTCTGGAGAATCTGGCAGGCTAATGGGAGTATCCTGCCCACACAGCAGTCTGGCAAACTCCCCGTGGCGTATTCAATATGCCAAAAACCAGTAACAATGATGGGTCTCATTCTCCTGACCCTGAAAGAGCCTCAAATGTGGCACTTTCTTAAATCTCAGAGCTAGGATGAAGGAAACGTTACTGGTGCCTGCTCAAGGAAGTCAATGAACAACAGGATGACAGTGATTCAGTGATACAGTGAAGATGAAAGCAATAAAAATGTCTTATTTTAGGGATGGTGGTTTGTATATATTTGAGAAAGCATCTAAAGTGATTAAAATTGTCTTCTCCTAGAGAGCAGAGGTGGAATGGAGGGAGGGAGGGAAGAAGGGAGGAAACTATCTTTCCCTACCTTTAAAGATAATTGCAGTTTCTCCCCAAAATTATAATTTGACACAGTAAAAGTACAACATAGTATACAAAATAGTTTGACTTAGGGTGACTGAACACTAATTAAGAATATAACAGATTTTCCATGAAATCATTTATTACTGAACTCCTTTCATGATCTAGTTTGCATCTTTGCATCTTAAATTACCAGTTTTTCTCCATAAGTTAGATTCCTGGCCCTAGCACACACACTTTAGAGTCAAAGAAAGAAAGGCATATTGAAGTTAAACAGTTTGCTTCAGGTAACATAAATGGTCAAAATAAAATTCAAAGCATGCAGGATTTCTGTTACAATCCATTCTGTTGAGTTCTTAAACAGAACAAGAATTTAAATACACCAAAACCAGTCTGCTTCAAAGCACTTTTTCACACCGTTATTATATTCTATTAGATAAATACGGCCACCCACTAATAATATTTTGTACTGTTTTTAAATAGTAAAATAAAACAATCATTTTGAGACTGATACCTTATAAATGATATTGTACCTACGGTTATCCTTTATTGCCATTTAATTGATAATCGAGAGAATTAGAAAAATTCTTGAAATAATTGTATCTTTAATTTTTATTTTGGGAGATACACCTGGAGATGCTCAGGGGCTACACCACGTTTGGGACTCTGAGGTAGTGCTCAGGAGACTATGTGGTGCTGGGGATCAAACCTGGACCCCAAGCATGCAAATCTGTTTCATTAGCCCAAACAATTGTATTTTATCTAGTAACTGTAACCAACCAACTCACATTTTATTCATATAATGGTCACTTATAGCTAATTATCAGTCTCATTTTAATGCTTTAGAATTCAGTCCTATTAAATTTTTTTTTTTTTTTTTGCTTTTTGGGTCACACCTGGCAATACACAGGGGTTACTCCTGGGTCTGCACTCAGGAGTTACTCCTGGCGGTGCTCAGGGGGACTATATGGGATGCTGGGAATCGAACCCGGGTCGGCCGTGTGCAAGGCAGACGCCCTACCCGCTGTGCTATCTCACCAGCCCCAAGTCCTATTAAATTATAAAATCACACTTTGGTTTTATTTTATTCAAATTCCTACTGTCCTTCTGGGCCTGGGAGCATGGTCTGCTCTCAGCTGGAACTTGTCTGGATTAGTCTGTAGGGGTGAATCCAGGTTGTTCTGTGGGGATTTGTGATGGCTCCAGCAAGACCCGCTGAGGAGAAGCTAAGTCCAAAGTCATTGTCCCAGACAGCTCAGCAGAGCATGTCACATTTCTCTTTGCCTTATGCTTTCAGATACTGTGGGCTGAGGAGTTCAGCCTCATTGACTCCCAGAACCCTATGAGAATGCTTTGAGGGTCATCTCATTTAAACCTCTGGAGATTGGTCCTTGGGCCTCAGTTCTTAGTTGGCCCTCTTTCCAACTTAAAAAAAATTTTTTTATTTTAGTGTAGACAAAAGCCACAACTGTTAATGCAATTCTAAAGTTGTAATTGATTAGATTACAAAGTTTCAATATTAAAATTAATCAGTATGAAAGAACCAATCTTTATGTGCAGATTATTATATCTGAACACAGGGTTGGTAAAGTCATTATCTAAGAATTTATTAACATGTTTGTTGCTAGTTGAACCTTCTGTGTTATTGTTTCTTCAGTACTGAAATTCCAGTGGGAGCACACTAGATTAGATTGGAAAGTAACATAAAAGCCAAATACACTCAAACAAAAATAATAATCCAACTTTATTTTTTTTTATTAGTGAAACACCATGTGAAACACCAAGTCTACAGTTATAGACTTACAAATTTTTGTGCTTGGGTTTCAGTTATACAATGATCAAGTACCCATCCCTCCACCAGCACCCATCCTCACCACCACGGGTCTCAGAATCCCTCCCACCCCCATCCCCCCCATCCCACCCCTGCCTCTGTGGCAGGGCATTCCCTTTTGTTCTCTCTCTCCTTTTGGGTGTTGTGGTTTGCAAGAGAGGCATTGAGTGGCAATCATGTTTGGTCTATCGTCTACTTTCAGCATGCTTCTCCCATCCTGGGGGAATCCTCCCAACACCCTTATTTGGTGCACCCTTCTCCCCATCTTAACAAAGTGGCATGCTGACAAGCTTAGTAGCGTGGAAGCCAGTGGAAATAAGAAAGAATAAAAAATAATATAAAATAAATTTTTTCTTTCTTTCTTTCCTTCTTTCTTTCTTTCTCTTCCTCTCTTTCTCTTTCTCTTTCTTTCTTTTCCTTTCTCTCTTTCTTTTCTGTAATTTATTAAACTTTAAATGATTCTTTGATATTCAGCAGGATTAATAAAACAAAATCCAAGTGAGTAAATTATAAAGTTCTCACAGGCTATTTATTCGGTAGCTCATGAATCAGACAACATCTCATCTAGCAGTTAGAGTGGAGCTCTGAGTAGTGATACAGAATGAAAGACTTTACAACAGTAAGCTATAATTAAGCAGCGAGCTGGAATTTATCTGCAAGTAAGAACAGAGCTTTTATTTGTGATTTTCTTGCAAAAAATTACAGAGTGGGAAATTCCACTCAGACAAGACCATCTAAGCACTCAAGTGTGATGAAAGTAACACAAGATTTCTATAGGTAGATTTGCTTCCTATGAGTAGATTAACAAAATCCTTTAAAGGGAGAAGGAAAATGTTGTAACAGGGAAGGATGCTTATATGTCAGAGCAGTGATAAATGGTCCTCTCTGAAGCCAGGATTTGATAGCATTCTTCTCTGAGAGGAGGCTGTGCTCATCTCCCTAAATTCCCTCCGGTTCGGATGTCAGGATACTGGGTAACTGGGAATGTTATAAGTGAGTATAAACCCATCTGCCAAGTGGTCACATATACTAGATCACATAAGTTGTAGTCTCCTACTGATTCCCTGACTCCATTCTGGGTTTTAGGATCAATTCCCTGTGGTACTCAGGGTTTTTCTAGGCTTAGTGCTCAGGTGTAGCCCTGGACATGCTTAGGGTACTATGTGTTGTGAGGAGTTCATGCTGGGGTCAATCATGTGCAAGACAGGTGCCTTATCCCCAAACCCTCAAATCCTTTTTTTTAAATTTTTTATTTATTTATTTATTGGCTTTTTGGGTCACATCCGGCGATGCACAGGGGTTGCTCCTGGCTCATGCACTCAGATATTACTCCTAACAGTGCTCGGGGGACCATATGTGATGCTGGGAATCAAACCCGGGTCAGCCACATGCAAGGCAAATGACTTACCCGCTATGCTATCACTCCAGCCCCCCAAATCCTTTTTTTTTTCTTTTTCTCAGGCCCTGCAAACTTCCCAATTCTGTGCCCAGGAACCTTACATACTAGTGATCATACCTGGGTTGGCCACATGCAAAACAAGCATCTTAGTCCAGGGGTACTCAGAAGCTACTCCTGACTGAATGCTCAGGAGTTGCTCCTAGCACTTCTTGGGGGATCTACCCAGTGTTGTAGGTCAAATCTGGGACTATAGCTTGCAAAGCATGAGTTCCAGTTGCTTGAGTTTTCTCTCTAGCCCTAAGGATATTATGCTTAAGTAAGTCTGAACAGAATGGACTGAATTACATCTTAATAGATCAGCATCCGTATTGATTTTGTTTTATATATTTGGCTTTTTGGGACCACACCTGGCGATGCTCAGGGGTTACTCCTGGCTCTGCACTCAGGAATTACACCTGGCGGTGCTCGGGGAACCATCTGGGATGCTGGGGATTGAACCCGGGTCGGTCACATGCAAGGCAAATGCCCTCCCCACTATACTATCACTCCAGCCCTTGTTATATTTTTAAATGTGTAAATGCATTGCTAACATTTATCATGCAAGAATATTTACTTAATATGCATGTCTTAAATATACTGAAAAATTTTTTCCAGATTTTAAAATGTTCATTTATAATGTAGGAATATTTATTATATAAAGTCTCTATGAAATTCAGAAGATTATCTTTTAAACCTTTGAGAAATCATGTTTTCAATGACAGTACTGTATTCTTAACATGTTCCATTCTTTGTTTTTTTCTGGGGCTTCCCAAGCTATGCTCGGGACCTGGGGCCACTTACTCAGACAGCTGGGCCAGACAGCTCAATGTGGGCCCCAGGACCAGGCTGCCTTTATGACACTTGAGGAGGCCCTGGTGTCCTTGGGATAGAACCCAGACCAGGCACATAACCCTGAAACCTCTAGACTCTCACCCTGACCTCACTTAACATTTTAAAAATAATCTCTTAATTTTTATACATAAAAAGTTATTTACAATCTCGGGTATTTCCTAACTAGCTAAAACAGACTTTCCAATCAAAAGGATCAGAATACACATTTTCTGTTAGGTCCTATGCAAAATACTGCTTTGACTCTTAAAATAGACTATTTTGTTTTTGTTTTGTTTTGTTTTCAGAGAGTAGCATTTGCCCTGGCATGGAGCCAGGGAGAGAAGGCCAGCATAAAGAGCCCCTGGAGAGCCTCCCCTGCTGTAATCAGCTGGGCGGGCAGGCGGCTCCCCCGAGCCCTCCAGTAACTGCAGGGAAGGCCCACGAGGAGGAGCCGCTGGGCAGCACTGAGGACACCCTGGAGCTCCCCGCCCAGCCCTCAGCCGCGGCGCCTGGCCGGTCTGGGCCACACTGTGCCGAGGATGCCTGTGAGGCCGCTGGCTCGCCGCTGGCTCAAACAGATGGCTGCCCAGAGGCGGCCAGAATAGAGGCCGACGCTGAAGCCCCCAAGTTGATGCTTTCCCGCGAGTCAATGATAGAACCTCTGCTTCTACCAGGCTCTGACCATATACCTCCAGTGCTGATTCCTGCAGGGCAGTATTCACAGACTCAGAGAAAGGAACTTCACTTGGCGCTAGAAGATGCTGCCGAGGCGGTGCCCACAAGCCAACCTGAGAACAATGAGCTAAATGAACCGAGGCAACCTGATCTCACTGACAGGGATGGAAAATCACCCCCGGGGCTGCCTGACTCACCGGAGTCTGAGAGGGTACTTTGTGAAAATGGGAACGCATCTGACTTAAGTGCAGCACTTTCAGAGCTGTCTATGGCCCCAGAGGGAAAGGAAGATCAGGATGACCTAGTCAATAAAGAGGCCGAAGCCTATTTGAACAGCCTTTTAGAGGGATGCCTGAAGGATGCAGAAGAGTCCTTTTCCTACGAAGATAACCAAGAGGACGACTCTGACCTCCTTCAGGATCTTTCTCCTGAAGAAGCATCTTACAGTCTACAGGAAAATCTGCCTCCCGATGACAGCTGTCTTTCTCTCGATGATCTTGCGAAAAGGATAGAGATCGCAGAGGTAAAAATTGAGATTTAATTTAAATATAATGAAAGGTGATATTTTGAAAGTACATTATACTAAATGCAGCCTGATTTTTTTTTCAGTGATCTCTGATATCAAATGGGAAATTTTTGTTAAAACGTTCAATGATTAGTAGCTTTTGTTTTTATTTATATGTACTGACTAAAATGACTTTTAAGCAGGATGTTCATAGTTCAAGAAATAATATCACATGTCTTCAGGTACATTAAATGTTTTGATTCCATTTTTGTGTTCCTTTGATGTTTATTTGGCAGTTCCACAATTTATGATCAAGATTAGTCATATTCTTATAAGGAAATATTTTTCTCTTATATATCTAGATGATAATACATATGTACCACTATTTCTCCCCCCTTGGGGGTGATGGTGGGCCACACCAGGCCATGCTGGAGGATTCCAGCTCTGCTCAGGGCTTGCTTCTGGTATTACTTTGGAAACAATGTATTAGGCATGTACCTGGGGTTGGCCCCATGCCGGACAAGTGCCTTAATCTTTGTACTATCTTTTCAGGCAGTTTCTTCCTCTTATATTTATATTTAAGAATGTATTTATATTCTTCTCATATTTATATTTAAGAATCTAAATGTATATTTTAGATTCTTAAACACTGTAGCAGAATAAAGGAAACAAAATAACTAGGAAATATAGGAAGGATTTTTTAAGGTTTTTTTTTTTAATGGCTTTTTGGGTCACACCCCATGATGCCCCTGGGTTATTCCTGGCTCTGCACTCAGGAATTACTCCAGGCAGTGCTCAGGGGACCATACGGGATGCCGGGGATTGAACCCAGGCCGACCATGTGCAAGGCAAATGCCCTACCTGCTGTACTATCACTCCAGCTCCGGATGGATTTTTTAAGGCATTAAGTTGTATATAATGAGTCTTTTCTTTCATATAGTATTTATTCCTAAACCGTAAATGTGAACAAATTTAGTACTCACTACTTGACTAAGTCAAATATTATAAATTATTCAAAGTTTTAAAGTTTCTCTGAACATCAACGAGGTTAATCAAAACCAAGGATGAGGGGAAGAGAATCAAGATGATTATTCTTAGGGCCAGAGTGATAGTACAGTGGGTAGGCTGTTTGCCTTGCACACGATCAGCCTGAGTTTGATCCCTAGCATCCCATACAATCCCCCGACCACCTCCAAGAATAGTTCCTAAGTATAGAGTCAGGAGTAACCCTTGAACATTGCTGATGTGACCCAAAAGATAAAAGATCATTCTCCTATGTTTGATAAGATTATTATTATTTTTTTTTTTAGTTCAGGGTAAGAAACAAAACAAACAAACAAAAAAAAAACCCAAGCCAGAGAGCTAGCACAAGGGTTTGGGCAGTTGCCATACACCTAACCAACTGCAGTTTGATCCCGTCCACCACATATGGCCCCCCAAGCACAGGCAGGAGTGATTCCTCAGCCCAGAGCCAGGAGTAAACCCCAGCCCTTCTGGGTATGGCCAAAAAGCAAGAAAAAAAATAGATAAAAACTACAATAAAATGAGAACCTTAGAGGGAAAATGGCCTTGAATAGTGGAAAGAGCAGAGAAATAGTCCTAAATTCAGATGCTAACTCTGTCAGTTATCAGGTACTGGTGACCTAAGTCTCAATTTCCTCCTTTGAAATTAGAATAGTAGCTATTAGAATAGAAATTAGAATAGTACCTCCTCTCTTTTGGTGAGCTTTTTTGTATTTTAAAAAGGAACTCTTAAATCCTATTTAAACGCTATTTTTTTTAACATTTAAAATAAGTGACTTAAGAGGGGAAATAGAAAAATAAAGCCAAACAAAACAACATGACTTACATGAGACAGGACCTGTGAAAGGTTTTCTCTGTTCTGTTCTGAAAAGTTTCTGTTCTGTGATTTTTTACTGTGATTTCTAGTCAATACTGCACAATTGAGTTTTCTTCTTAGTTTCTTCTTAACAAATTAGAATGGTATATATTGACCCAGTGTTCATCAGTGTTTATTCTTTTTATTTTAATCAGGCCCTTCATTGTTTTCCATAATCTATGATTTTCCTCCTTACCTTTTTCTCAAAATTATATAATATTTGCCCAGTGAGTACAGAGTTTCTGTTTGGGAAGATGAAAATTTTAGAAATGGATATTAGGATGCTGTGGTGCATTTTATATATAAGCAAAGTTAATACCACTTAATTATATATGTAAAAGTGGCTAAGGTGGCAGTTTCATGTTTATGTGTATATATAATTTTAACTATATTTTTGAAAATTTTAATAAAAATCCTGGTTCCTAAATTTTTCTTATTTATGTAAGAAAAAAATAGGGCAAATAAAACATCATACCCAGTATTTCTTTTCTTCTTTACTTTCACGAAGCCTCTGGTACAGGTAATTATTAAATCTTATTGAAATACCAAAAGACTACCTTTTCATGCCAATAATCAACTTGTCCTCATGAGAAAAAGTTAAGGACTAGTTTTTCCTTTATGGATATGAAATGTCAAGAAGGATTAGAGTCTCTCACTTAGTCTACCTTAAGGAACATTTTATGATGAGGAATTACTTTGAGTTTATGTTGTACTATAGTCAAATGGAATAATCCTTTCTCAAATGAAGGTAATGCCTATTTTCCAGTGGGATACCGTGAGCAGGAGAAACCATATGTACTTACATTTAAAGTTGTCTTTTTTCTGATGTTTATTTGTTGTTATAATTTGTTTTTGCAGTATTGGGACACAAACTCAGGATCTTAGAACCTCACTCACATACAAGGGAAGTGTTCCATAGAGCACATTCCTGCTCCTGTGAAGTTATTTTTAAATGATCCCCTTTCCTAAAATTCTGTTAGTCAATTAAGTTGTGTTGTTTTGTGTTTGTTTGTTTGGGGGACTGTGAGGAACAATCACAGGGGCCCTCCTGGACATTCTCTGCTGAGAAACCAGTAGTTCAGTTCAAGGGCACAGGATGCAATGCTGCTTTGCCCCTGTACTACATGGGTCAGCAGGCCCACTTGGGAGGCCTCCACAGCTACATTGGGCAGTGTTTGGGGACCTCTAGGTCTGCACCCAGTGTTGCTCAGTGGACCGTGGAATATCTGGGATCAAAATGGGATCACTCTATGCACTTCAACCTCCGCACTGTTTCTACACCTTAAGTTGTCCTTAAGTTTCAAGGGAACTAAAGTTTCAAGAATGCTTGCCTTGCACTTACCCAGATTTGTTCCTTGGTACCACATACGTTCCCCTGAGCCCCACCAGAGTGATCCCTGAAAACAGGAGTAAGCCCTGAACGCTGCCAAGTATGACCCAACTACACCAAAAGTTAAATGAAACGTATTTACTTAATAAGAGTTTTCTGTGCCATCATCCAAGAGTATCTTGACTGCACGGCAGAGCCTGGCAAGCTCCCTGTGACGTATTCGATATGCAAAACACAGTAACAAGTCTCACAATGGAGACGTTACTGGGCCTGCTCCAGCAAATTGATGAACAATGGGAAGGACAGTGCTACAGTGCTACATGCTAATTAAAAAAAAAAATCTTGACACTTTTTTAAAAAACTAATTTGCAGTGCTATGTTACATGTTAAAAACTATTTAACAATGCTAAACAGATTGTTTCTGAGTACCTCCTTCCGTTTTAGAGAAATGTGCTTTAATATAATCTACACAACTTTTGTCAGGAAGAGTGTTTAGAATTTTAAAGCTCAGAGAGGTCAAGTACATGTTTCATATCTATGAAGCCTTGGTTGGACTCCCCTCTCTCTCCCCTCCCCCGACACACACAGCCCCTAAAACAACAAAATTTCAGTTTTAGAGAGATGGTTCAAAAGGCTTCAATACATACTTGATATTCAGGAGTCATAGATTTGATCCCTAGTATCATATGGTCCCTTAACATTATCAGGTGTAGCCCCCAGGCCAAAAAAGAATTAATAAATATATACATTTAAAACTAGACATCACTAATGCTTAATATTTCCTTAAGACCTTAAGATGAGGTTTTAGACTAAGTAAAATGTTTAGGTCTTAATGGATTTGCTTTTAAATGCAAACTTTTTTGGGGGGGGAGGGGGAATGGGGGCACACCTGGTGGTGCTCAGAGCTTACCCCTGACTCTGAGCTCAAGTATCACTTCTGGTGGGACTTGGGAACCACATGGGATGCCAGGATTAAACCTGGGACAGCTGCGTGTAAAGCAAAGTCCCTATCCGCTGTGCTATCTCTCTGGTCTCCTTAAGGGCAAACTTTTGAAAATTCAAACACTGCCCTGTGCTTTCTGTAAGACTGTCTTGAGGATCTTCTGTATGTCAGGCTTGAATGCAGCAAGGAATCCTGAGACCCTTCACCTTGGGGCACTCTGCTGCCATACCTGGCTGGTTTTCCTGGAATTGTTTTTAAAGTACTTTTTAGATGTCTCCTCTTTTGTGAAAAGAGAACAGAACATGATTTCTTAATGATTAAATAATTCTGTATCTTAATGATTAAAGAATGCTGTAAGACGTTTTCGTGCCCTAAGAAACCCTGGAGGAGGTGAGCCTGCTTTTCTCCTCTCGAGTCTTCTCTGTTTTTCTTCCCAAGTCAATCATATCTCCCACCAGTGACAGCTTCCCACCCATTTCTTTGCTACTTCTCACTGTTGCTGCTGTGGTGTTTATGATGCAATGTAATGAATGGTATGTTCTTTCATGGCAAAGTGTTGGTTTTTTTTTTCTCCATTTTCCCTTCTCTGCTTTTCCCCCCAACTTGTGTAGATGCTCAGCATTGGCACCAGTGCTTTGTGACTTTACTTCCACATGGCCAGCCTAGTAGAAGCATTTTTTCACCTCCTCTTTGTGTGGGCACTTTTTTGTTGTTTTGTTTTATTTTTAGACCAAAAGACTCAACACATAATTTTCACAAAATCTCATAGAGATACCATAATATCTATGCTACTGTAATTCATTACTATAGAGATATGTGAGCACCAAACTTTCTGAGATTGGGAAACTTTTTCAAGTTTTCTAATT